CGCGCCTCCACCTGCAACTCTGTTTTTCGTTTTACTTGTTTGTTCTTTTTAATTTCCAGCAATCTCAATACGTTTAGGATGTTTTGTTACAATATATTTGAGTAGTTTCCCAGTTGGGTTTAAAGGAATTTTCAAAGGAAATTTCATGTGTCTTCTTCTATTAATCGATAAATTTAGGATTTATAATCTTCTAGATATTCTTGGTTTACCTTTACTCTTACTGCGTGATTTTCTGCTGGCCACTTAGAATTTGATCTAGATATGATATGTTGCGAAAGTTTTCATTGATTGTCTGACCTAGGTGAAACGAGCAATTCTACTATAGGAGTGTAAACCTATCTATAGATGAGTTGTGAATGTTGATGAGTCTTGTTCAAACTATTGCATCTACTCCCTTCCAGGATCAGAGTGGAAACCTACTGGTCAGGGTTTCGAGAGATAGTTGTTTAGTGCTGCAAAAGTAGGTTATTCATACTTTCGTCCCTCGAGTTCTAAAACATACGTAGTCGATTACCTTTATCATTTACTTATTTTCGTCATAGCTTTAGTCCATGAATCTTTGCGATACCCTTGAGCCCAGCGTTTGTTTTTAATTGTTTACAGCCTTTGATTTGCATTCTACTTTCATTCGATTTTCACCTGATTTCACTTGCATTCATTTTCAATTGCCTTTTACTTGCTTTTTAGTTTAGATTTAGTGACAACCAACACCAAAACCCAACCCTGTCTAATTCTAGTTTGATTTAAGCATTAGCGTGAATTCATACTGAAACAATTAAGTCTCTGTGGATCGATACCATAAGTACTACAGCGCACATCTAAGCACTTGCAGATATTTAGGGGTTAAAAATTTAAAATCTGAAGCTTTAACTCTTTTTTGCAGAAATCATGTACCAGAAAGCTTTAACTCTCTCTCCCCCCCCTTTCTATTTCTCATTTCCATCCCTATCTCCCTCCCTCCATTTCTCCCTATCATTCTCTCTCTCCTCCCTTCTGTCTCTTTCCATCTCTCGTTCTCCATCTCGCCCCTTATCTCTCATTCTCTCTCTCCATCTCTCCCTCTTCCAAAATTCACTACAAGAAAACTGTCGTTTTGATATACATTTTTATTCTTATTTACCTTCTTTCTGATATATATTTTTGTTTTTATTTTTCATCGTCTCTAACTTTTTTACCATATTCATATTTTGGACTTTCTTTTTTTCTCCAATTTTTACTCCTTTTCGTCCCCATCCTCTCTTTCATATTCTTTTTCTTACTTGAATTCTTATATTCTACTGATTTTTCTTAGTCTCTCTCCTTATTTTCACCTTCTTCTACTTCATCTACATCATCTTCTCGTTTTCTTATTCTTCTACTTCATTTTCTTCATTGCCGGTTTCTTTTTTTTGTCTTTAACTTTTCCAACTTCTTATTCCTATTCTTCTGATTTTTTTATCTTTTTCATCTTTCACATGTTTTTATCCTAATCCTTCTTCTATATTTTATACTATCCATTTTTTTATTTTTCTTCCAGTTTTTATATGTTTTTGTCTTTGTCTTTGTCTTCGTCCTCGTCATTGTCTTAGATGAAGGCATGCAATTGATTTTCTCAACGACTGGAATATTTAATTTTCTCCTAAAATGGTCAAGTGAAAGACACTTATAAATGTCTTACTTAGAACAAAGTTCTCATTGACAGCACTAATTCTTACACAATAAAAATGACATTCACATTTCATCTCCCGAACAACTCTTTTCTCATAAAGGAAAAGGAAGAAGGTTAACCTGATTAACTTTATCTCTAACTTGCGCTAACTAATATTCGTCTTTTCTTGTTTTCAGAGAATCTTCCCTTAGACCAGAAGTCCCATTGATGAAGGTATCTTCAGGACAAGGGATCGTTAAGCAAGCCACCCATGGGATGATCGAACCCGAACTCTTCCTCGGATTCACTAAGCAAAGCTTGAAACGAAGACTGGCTCAAATTTGAGTCATGAACTATATATCACTTCTTCTGGACCTGGTCTGAGTCACCATACACCGCAAGAAACCCTTTTGACTTTACAGAAGGGCTAAGAATCTTCTTTTCACTCAAGAGACCTCTCACTTCAGCAGAGAATTGGCTAAGCCCCTGAATTATGATACAAAAAGGATTAGCACTTCTATAAAGAAGGAAGATTAGTCAATAAGGACTTACGCGGCAATGTCGTGTCCCATAAGGACATACGACCATCGTGTCCCATATAGGAAAGAGAGACAAGGAAGATTTCATTGAGGTGGTTGAAGAATAAGAGTGTGGAAAAAGACATTCAATAATCAATTATATCATCTAATGGCCATGATTCATGGAATATTGGTTTTGAAATTTTTTTGAGTATAAGAAATAAAAGATACAACTGCAAACTAAATGTGAAAAGCAAAACAATCATGGGGATGAATCTTTACTCTCTAAGTCTGCTGGTCAGTGTTAAGCTTGTTGGAAATCGTACCTTGGGTTTTGCTGCAAGATTTTCGTTACAATGATTTTCCAGATCAGGATGATGGTGAAGTGTAAAGCAAAATGATCAACTGAAAAAGAAAAAAAAAGATGGATACACAAACAAAACCACCGGATCGACATCTCAAACATAATCATAAATGAACATATCTATAAAACAAAGGTGTAACGAACGAACATAACCTCAAAACTCTTCCTTTTGGCATCTCGACAATAGATGTATTTAGAAAAACTGTACAACATCAACAAAGAAGAACCGAGTTTCGTAATGTCGTAATGGTAAATTAATACACATATATTTATAAACACCAATTGAGTAGGGCTTTATACAAAAATTTACGTTTAATAAATAACAGGCTGCCGAGCTACGAGCTCCAGCCCTAAACCCCTAAAGACTTACATATTAACAACTGGAAGAACATCTACGAAAAAAAAAGAAACAATGTAGATGATTAAAAAAAACGTGATCACAAAATCAACAAAAAAGCATATCGTCAAACATATCAATTACAAAACAAAAATAAATATTAAGTACTAACCTAACCAAACAATAGATCCGTTAAACACTTCAGCGGTCTTGGATCACTAAACAATAATCCTGCAAGAGAAAAAAAAAGTAAAAGAAAAGAAACAAAAAAAACAATAAGAAAAAAAACACAAAATTAAAGCTAGAGATGATGGCTAACGTATTAAAAAAAAACAAACAAAATAGATAAAACGAAAAATACAAAAACATGACTCATAAGAATAGATATGTGTTACTCAAGAAACAAACGTAAGAACATAGAAGACGGACTAAATACTCCCAATAATTTGGTCAACCTATAATCAGAAAAACAAACAATTTTATTAATAATTAACAAAGGACCACGAACTGTCAATGTAGTTAAAGATGAACTCACCTGTATGTGAATTTTTAGAGGTGTTATTCGATGAATGAGAAAAAAAGTAGCTACAAAAACAATGAACACTACAAAAAAAATAGAAATTATTGTACTTAGGATTTTCAAACACAATTTAGACGATGTATATAATGGTTGTATTTATATAACTTATGATAGCTAGGGTTTCAAAAAAAATTTCAAATGAATGTAGCGATATCAAATTAGGTGCCGACATTAAATTAGGTCCACACTTTTTTAATGTTTGGTAAGCATTTTTTAAAATAGGAAAACGACGTATTTCCCCCCACCAAGTTTCACATAGTAACCAATCCACATGATCTTTGAGGTTCGTCTTAAATCCCCACAGCGGTAAAGTTAAATACCAATTTTATCCCAATTTCAAAGTTAAAAACATAAATAACTCTTACTCCTGATTTAACTGGTTTGTGAGCTTAACCGAAGGTAAAACCGTGTTGCTCGATTGTAGACGGTATCTTACGACCCGATCAACCTGACCCAAAATCTAAACCCGCTCCTATAACCCGATCCATCTCCTAACGGTAATATTATGAAATCCCCAAATCGATTTAAAATCCCCAAATCGAGAGAAGAACCCTAAAACCCGAAAATTCCCAAATCAAAATTCTGAAACCCAGACTCCTTTTACGATGAACAACAACGACTCTGGGGCTTCTAGTGTGAACTCAGGTGGTCGGGAAAGAAGAAGAAATGCAGGTGTGCCGAAAAGGTGCTGGTGTGGAGAAGCAATTATCGCGAAAATGTCAAAGTCCGAGTCCAATCCATACCGGAGATATTATCGATGTGCATTTGCCATTGAGAAAAAGGTACACAGCTATATCTCGTATTCTCATTTTAAAGATTCCGAGTTCTCATTGTTTAGTGATTGTGTTGTTTTTTGTAGCTTTCTAATGATAGCCACATTTTCAAGTGGGTCGATGATGCTTTGTTGAGTGAGATTGAGGCATTGACAGTAAGAACTGAAAAACTGGAGCAAGTCGTGGCAGATATTACGAATGGGACAATGGAGGTGGCTAAGAAAATGTTTGAGGAGCTGCAAATGAAGCTAGAGAATGAAAGCGATCAAAGAGTGGACGAAGCTGTAGCTGAAGCTAAAAATGAGATGAAGAAAATGATGTTAGTTATCTGTTTAGGATCCACTGTTGTTGTTGGGTGTACCAAACTTGTAGGTTGATGCTTTAAGAAGAACAAGCTTGATGTATGATGTGTGTTTTGTGTTTGTCATTGGTTTTTGAGACCTTGTTATGGCTAGAGATTGTGTTTGTGGTAGAGATTGTGTTTGTCATTGGTATTTGGTAGCTTGTTTGTATTTTTTGAGACCTTGTTTTGTTTTGTGTTTCATTACAAGCTTCTGATCATAACATAAAAGAGGTTCATAACTAAAACAACTGACCATAAGTAGAGTAAAATAAAACTGATCTTAACATAAAACAGGTTAAAAAAAAGCTGATAGCATACCAAAAAGACAGCCATAACATAGATGCCGCGACACAAACTGATAAAGCACCAAAAAGAAAAGCCGAGAACAAGCTGTTAGAGTACCAAAAAGACAGCCATAAACATGAAAAAGCATCTAAAAACATGAAAATTCTTCACTTTCAATCCACTTGACTGAGAATTCCTTGTGAGGGTTCAACTTGAGATGATGCTTCAAGTAAAGGGACCTGCAAAAAAAAGAAGAACAAATAACATTAGCATAGACATCAAAAAAGTCATAAGAAAGAAAGAAGAACCACATAGTTTACCTCAGATGTCGAACCTTTCTTCTTCTTATTATGCCAGCGAGAGTTGTGACCAGCAGCTCCACAAACACCACAATGCATGACCCTCTTCTTCTCCAATGGGTCTGCCCTCCTCGTAGGAGACTCATTCCTGTCTCTCTTCCTCTTTTTATCTTGCTTTGTAACCTTTTCCTTTGCCTTATCCTTATCCTTCTTCCCACCAGGCATATTTGGAATCTCAGGATGAACAATCGATGGCTCTTCTCCTCTAGGCCAAAACTTTGCACCTCTAACTGGGACAATGCCATCTATATACAGCCTTCTCCACTTATCTGTCCCAAACCAATGGCACACATAGTGTTGAGCTTCAAGACCTTTTTTCAAGATAACACCATATGCATGCTCACACGGGATTCCAGTTATTTCCCGTCTCCTGCAGCTACAAGTCCTATTCGCCAAGTCAACCCTGTGTGTGCATCCATCGAGTGAACAAGCATACTGCATGTTAGTTGAAGGCCAAACAAAGCATCCTGAAGCTGCATCATGATACTCTGCAAGGTATTTCTTCACATATGATGTACAGAAACCATCATAGTTAGAAGCTTTATAATATCTCTTGGCTATTCGAACCATTGCCAACCTTGCAATGGTCTCTAGCATAGGCACTAAAGCCTTATCCCTGGCTTTTCCTGAGTACAACAAGGGCAAAAAACAATGAAAACAACAATGAAAATACAGTTAAAACAAATGAACTATCACCAATTCATAAGAAACCAACTAAAACAATTCATACCTATTGAGTTGTTGAATGACTCCACTGAATTATTCTCCACATCCTCACAGTAAGACCCGAGCTTGTAAAAAGCCCTGCACCATGTCTCCGGTTTTGTTTTCAGCAAATCTCGGTACAATGCCTCATCATATAACTCAATCTTGTTCAAGTTTTCTCTAAAATCTGGCTCATTGTATCTCCAAGCTAGATGCCATATCAACCCCTTCAACTCTGGATTTTTCCATGCCGAGACTTCAGGTTCATGTATATGTGTCCTGTACACATTCTATGCTTAATCTTTGGCAGGATCCTCTGAACGGCACTGATCAATCCCTACAAAAAAAAAACCAATATAGTAGCTATAGAAGTGAACTAAACAATAACTAAACCACCCATTTTACCTTTTGTCGATCAGAGATTAGTACAAAGCCATCTCCATCATGTAGTCCTAAATCATCTCTGATCTTAGAAAAGAACCAATCCCAATTATCTGCATTCTCCTTCTGCACTACAGCCCATGCCACATGGTAGATTCGGTTGTCTGCATCTCTACCACTTGCCACAAACAACTCACCTTTGTGAACTGTTTTTAAGAAACAGCCATCCACTCCTAACATTGGCCTACAGTTCTCTTTCCAAGACTTTTGCAGGTTATCAAAACATACATAGAACCTTTGAAACACATGCTGACCTTGATCATTCACAATGCAATCAACCTCCACTGAAGAATCCGGATTAGAACCTTCAATCTCTTTTGCATAATCTATTAGGCGTGCAAACTGTTCCTCATATTCTCTTTCAATCCATGCCAAAGCTTTGTTCCTTGTGTGCTTACATTGAGGCCGAGAAACAGAGATCTTCCATTTCTCCATAACCAACTCTTCAATCTTCATTGGCATGAAGTACTCCGGTTCTTCACGAATCTTGTCCACAAAGAGGCGAGCAATCACAGGCACCTTCATCATCGTGCAAATGCCATTCAGAACACAACAATTTTTAGATTCAAACACCGTTACCTGCCACATTGACGATCCACCTTTCCGAGAGCAGTAAATTCGCCATGTACAGTTCTCTCCTAAACACTTAAACACAAGCTTCGTCTTGTCATATCTTTTTTGGCTGATATTGTAACCAGTCTTCAAGGCGTAGTCCAAGAAACCTTCCTTGAATGCTATTCCACTGATGAAGACTTGTCCGAGGTACAAACTCCCATTGCCTCGTCGGATATGGTCGCGCCTCCGAGCTTTACGTTGAGCTGCTTCTTCTTCATCCAAATCCGGATACACATTGTGCCTGACAGATGGCTCATCCTCAAAAGCAGCTACAGCTTCCTCAATCATCCAATCATTCCTCTCCCTGCGATCTTCACCGTCGGAATCATACCCAGCTTGCCACTCCACTATCGACATTTGCAGAAGAAATCGACAGCTACGGTTTGAAGTGAAGTGGATTCGGAGTTAGGGTTTGCTCGAGATTGAAGTTTGATTCAGGATTTGGTTACAATTTCGGGTTTTCGATTGCGTTTCTGGTTTTTTTTTTGTTTTAGGGTTCTTCACAATTTGGGGGAAATGAAAGCATGGGAGAGGTTTCGCGGGTTTGTGTCGGGGTTTTAGCCGGGTTTTTTTTTCGCGGGTCAAATTTTTAATTGGGTCTAGATTACAGGTCAATCTATGGTTTAAGCGTTAAATCGGGTTTAAATTAGATAAATCTCTGTATTCATTGGGTAAGTCAGTTATCGGTAAACAGTAAACCGATCTAAATCATGGTCTATGTGTTTATTCGTATTTAACTTTATTTGGAGGGTTATTTATGTTTTTAACTTTGAAATTGAGGGGAAATTGGTATTTAACTTTACTGCTGTGGGGATTTAAGACGAACCTCAAAGATCGTGTGGATTGGTTACTATGTGAAACTTGGTGGGGGGAAATACGTTGTTTTCCCTAAATTAATTAATTAAAAATATTTATTTTTTATTAAGAGGTAATTAATTAGCTGAAAGTCAATACTCGGAACCTCCAAAACTTATTCTGAACTCGCTTCTAATTTTATATGATATCTAAAATACATCAGCCAAGTCTTATGTTGGGATCGATTTTTACTTTAAGCGTTCGACTTATACCTTGACTTCCCTTAGTTTTTGATAAAGTTGACTTCCCTTAGTTGACTAGCAGAAATTTCATTTTCTTTAGCCCAAGGAAACACCAATCATCCGAAAGCCGACGACGATAGAGATAACCTTCAGCAGGTTAATCATGTAGGACCGTGAAAATCCGATTGAAATTACGAATCAAAAATAGCAATATTATAAACAATATGTTAAGGTAAGAGATTAAAACGAGAGTTAGAAAATCGATTGAAAAGAGACGAAAAACACGGAGTCGAGTTATGATCTCTTTCCTTAACTCAATAAATCGCCCGTAATCTGTGACGGTTTGTTGCGATTTTTGAATCCCAGGATACAACCGTGATGAGACTATTACGCAACACCCGTAATAGAATCTGCGAACTGAGATTATACTACGCTGTAGCTCTCGAGACACTTACGATATTAAGACGAGAAGGATTTGCTGGAAAGAATTATTTGCTGTGTGTTTGGAGTATTCGAGAATTCGATTATTTGGAATGAGAGAAGAGGGCGTCTATTTATACTGGAAGGTTCAGCTTGATCCGCAAAGAATAAACTTTGGCGAAAAGGAATATTCGCGAGATATTCTCCTTTTTCCGCAAGGAAAAGGATTCGGAAATCTTCCGTTATTATCTGGACGCAATCTTTTATTTTCTAAGATTTATCCTTTCAATATGCAAAAAATATTTTGCAGGAACTAAGAAGCCCACGACCCACACCCAGCTATATAGAGCCCAAGAGCCCAAGAGCCAAAGAGCCCAACTAAAAAATGCAGCGAGCAACGAGTAACGAGTAACGAGCAACGAGCAACGAGCCTGAGCCTGAGCCCGAGCCCGAGCCCGAGCCCGGCACCGGCACCGGCGACGGCGGTGGCGGCGGCGCGTGTAGGTGTTTTTGCATAATGCCCTTTTACTTCCACAATGCTGTTGACCCTTATTGTGAGAAGGCCATATATATACAAGAGATTTTTCTTCTTGGTGAGCAATGTGGGACAAATAGACTTCCACTAAACTTCCACTTTTAGTTATAGCCAATAGGAACATTTCATTTCCATAGGCTCAAATCCAAATATCAAATGAATTTATAAGGCACATTTGCTTATTAAACTTCATTTCTTATTCACACACAAACTCAATATTACAAGTCCAAATGCTTATTAATATTGGGTTCCAACAAATAATTTCATTTCTTTCTGATTTTATTTATTTTCTGTTCTTTCTTCTTTCAAATGATATGTCCGATCGAATCTGATCTTAGTTCAATCGAATCTTGAACTGGATTTCCTTTTTTTTTCTTTTGAGCTCTGTTCATGTCAAAATCAGATGAACAAATGCGAATACAATTCGTGGATCTCTATCTTCGTATTGGACCATGTTCGTTTGCTCATTTGTCATTTGCATCCAGATGATCCATTTAAGAGATTCATCTGGATGAATCATCTGAATGATGCATATAACAAATAAACAAACAAAAATTTAAATGAGAAATTGACAAATGAACAATGAATCTTTATTTGTTTGGTCATTTTAATCTGAATATATATATATATATATATCTTTATTTTTATTTTTTAATAACAAAATTATTAAAATCTTAATTTAATCAAAATTATTGAACAAGATTTACTTTTTTTAAAAGAAAAATGAAATTTTTTGTTTTTGACGGGAAAACAAGATTTTATGTTTTAACGGGAAAACAAGATTTTATGTTTTTTGACAGGATCACGAAATTTTACGTTTTTGACAGAAAAATAAGATTTTACGTTTTAATGAGAAAACAAGATTTTATGTTTTTTGAAAGGAAAACGAGATTTTACGTTTTTGACGGGAAAACAAGATTTTACGTTTTAACGGGAAAACGAGATTTTACAATTTTTTGACGGAAAAACTAGATTTTACGTTTTTGACGGAAAAATGAAATTTTACGTTTTAAAGAGAAAACAAGATTTTAAGTTTTTTGACGGGAAAACTAGATTTTACGTTTTTGACGGGAAATCGAGATTTTATGTTTTTAACGGGAAACGGAATTTTACGTTTTTTGACAGGAAAAGGAGATTTTAAGTTTTTGACGGGAAAACGAGATTTTACGTTTTTTGACGGAAAAACAAGATTTTACGTTTTTGACAGGAAAACAAGATTTTACATTTTAACGGGAAAACGAGATTTTAATGTTTGTGACGGAAAAACGAGATTTTATGTTTTTGACGAGAAAATGAGATTTTACGGGGAAACGAAATTTTACGTTTTTGATGAAAAATTGAGATTTTACGAAAAAATGAAATTCACCCCTAGGGGTGAACCCAAAAATTGTCCTTTTATGTTTTTGACGGGAAAACGAGATTTTACATTTTAGATAGAAAAACGAGATTTTACATCTTTAATACGAAAACGAGATTTTTTGGACCGAGCCATGTTCATCCAGATTATTCAATTTGAATCAGTTGGATGAGTTTCAAATTTCTTTATAAATTTATAAGTCATTTAGGTGATCAGTCTAGATGATCCATCTAATTGAATTGATTTATGTGATTAAACGAACATCATTTGAATGCTTTCATCCAGATGAGCAAACGAACAGGCCCTTGCTGTTTTGAAATTATGATGCTAATTCTCCCTCTTCATCTATAATAGCTTGACTTCTGTGTTTTATACTAATTGAGCAGAAACTTATAGCTGCAATTATGTCATTTGGAGTCCAGAAGCTTTGGGAGCTCCTAAGCCAAGAATATGAGTGGTTGCATGGAGTTGATGGGCAAGTTATCTATTATATTAAAAACAGAAGCACTTTTAGTGCTTGCTTTCAAACACTCCCAAAGTATTTTTTATGATATTTTATTTTATATTTATATTTAATTTCTAAAAATTAATTATTAATTTAAATATTTTTAGATTTCCTAAAATCTAGATTATTTTTAATTTAAATTTCAAAAAATTATTAGAAATTTATGATAATTAAATTTAATTACAAAAATCTGCATTCAATTTAATTTAAATTCAAAAAATTCAAAAAAATTATAATTAAATTTTTTTACGAAAATTTAGATAATAATTTTAATATTTTAAAATTTCTTAAATACATGTTAAATTTAATTTAAAATTTTTGTACTAGCACAAAAAAATAAATGCAACATATATTAGAAATGAAAAATAAAAAATTCTTGTGTAAACGCAAGGGGTTAAAATCTAGTTACTGAATTAAAAAGTGATCTGAATATGTTAAGGTCTTTTTTGGAAGATGCAGATGCCAAGAAACATACAAATGCAATGGTGAGAAACTGTGTGGAAGAGATCAAAGAAATCGTTTGTGACGCAGAGGATATTGTGGAGATATTTCTCGTATAGGAAGAACTCAAGAAAACAAGTAGCATCACGATGCGTATGAGAAGACTTGCTTGCATTGTAGTGGATCGCAGGGAGGTTGCTTTAGATATGGGAGGCATAAGTAAGAGGATCTCTAAGGTAACCCGAGATATGCAGAGTTTTGGTGTACAACAGACCATTGTGTATGATAGGTATACACAATTTCTACATCAAAGACAAAGGGAAATACGAAAAACATTTTCTAGTGCCTTTGAAAGTGATCCTGTGGGGTTGGAGACAAATGTTGAGAAATAGGTTGGCTATTTGGTGGAAGAAGATTGTTTTCAAGTGGTTTCTATAACTGGGATGGGTGGTATTGGTAAGACTACCCTTGCTCAACAATTGTTTAATCACGAGATGATAAAAAGTCATTTCGATGGACTTCCTGGGTGTGTGTTTCGCAGCAATTTACACGAAATTATGTGTGGCGGACCATTTTGCAGAGGCTTAGTGCAAAACATGATGAACATAGGGACTCAGAGATGACAGAAGACGAACTACAGGACAAACTTGTACGATTGTTGGAAACCAAAAAATCTTTGATTGTTCTTGATGATGTATGGAAAGAAGAAGATTGGGACAGAATCAAACCAGTATTTCCACCCAAAAAAGGTAACCTCTTATGATACAAGGTAAACTCTTATGGTACATAGATTAGATATTAAATGTCACTTCTTGATTAAGATCAGGATAACATACATCCGTTGTGAAACTTTTTAAGTTCCTTTTTGTTTGGGCATTATTTAAAAAGAGAGAACATTTTACAGGCTGGAAAGTACTACTTACTTCTCGCAAAGAGAACATTGCATTTAGCCCACATCCAACATATGTTACCTTAAAATCAGAATCCATAACTCTTGAAGAAAGTTGGACACTTTTTCAAAGGATAGCATTTCCAAGGAAAGACACAACCGGTAAGGTTTCA